CAGGGGGTTGTGCTTCAATCCAGCCAATCTGACTATACGGCTTGTTCCCTGACTCGAGAGATTTTATAACCCAGCACAGGCAATGAAACGGACACAAGTCATTGTAATGTAAGATGGACTATTCAAAGCAGAAGAGATGCTATGGAATGCTATGGAATGCTATGAAATGTCATTTCTCCAGCACAGAACATTTAAACTCTTTCTCTTGTGAATAATGGGATAAAGGCTGTTTGAGGGGGATCTCAGAGAAGACAGGGACTGTCATCAAGTGGAGACAGAGGGATGGAAACATGGGGCCAGGCTGAAGGCTATCAAGTGGTCATCTGCTGCCTAGTGACAAATGTGAAAAGTCAGGATGGAGCCGAACAGGGACAACCCTGAACATAACGACTTTTAAAATAAGATTATTTCATTTGGTTATTACTTCTACAGCGGCATACACTAAGAATTAGGTTTGTTTGCTGGTTTGTTTTTACTTCCTGGTGTATAACTCTACTATTTATATTAGGAACATACATTTTTTTAATATGGAAATTATCAATTACTCAACTGGCACAGTAGCAAGAAATCTTAATGTCTATTTATGAAGGACTACTAAAATATCAGGTTTAAATGGCAACTCACCATGATAATTTATTTTCTCCAAACTACATCATTCTTATTTTATTCAACTGTTACATAAAACTTATTTAAAGCCTTAATTTTATTTCACTATGACTTTAATGCTTAACTAGTAGCATAACTGAGTGATCACTTTGTGTGTCGGGCACTATGTAAGCACTTCATGTATTTTATCTCATTTGCGCCTCCTCTCAACCTCACATGCTGAACACAGCCACTCCCCTGGAATGTGCTGGAACTGGGATACGAACTCTGTCTGAAACCAGAACATGGATTCTCAGCAACTATATAGAAATTCTCTCTCTCTCGGTCAGGGAAAGGTTTATAAGGTGAAAAGTATTAAGAAAGGGGGGGAAATCCAAAAATTTGAGTTTATTAAATGTAACCAGGTTAGATTTAACATTTCATTTTAAGTGGAATGAAAGAAGAAAGGAAGGAAGCAAATACACTAGAACCTTCCTATTCGATCGTCCTGAGGGGACATGTCATGAAACTGATTTCAATAGGCCTCCTTGGGACTTGGTGCAAAACGGATCAGACTCACGTGGAATTCACAGGAGAGCAGGAAGGCCATAGTGAGCCCTACGGCAAACACAGTTTATAGAACCGACATCATAAACCCACCCACAACCCCAAGTGCTGGCAACTGGTATTCTCTCAAATTACCTTGGAGTCCTTTGCATAATAAAGTGTCCGGCCTCGAAGTTTGAAGTAGCGTTTTTTCCACCTTTGGAAAGAACTGGTTTGCTTCAATAGTTGTCCCTCTTTGATACTGGTCTGGGGAGAAACAGAAGCACAACGACATGAGCAAATGAAATTCAAAACCAAATAGAGTTCCGACTTCATGACACAGGATCATTAACATTTTGAATACTGTTTCCCATGCCCTACAAATTACATGAGAGAGTGTTTTCTTCTTTCTGTTCAGCCAGGGGAGCACACGTGCAAAGTCCCAAGGAGCAAAGGTGACTATGACACAGTTCCCCGGCTGCTGAGTAGTCACAAATAGTGCAGAAGGCACATGCACACACACTAATGCTTACAATACAGTGTGATGTGTACACTGACCTTATACAGTAAGAGTTCAGTACAGGGTGGGAAGGGGACAGGCGCAGTATAACGTAATGAGTAAGAAAGGCATGGGTGGGTGGGCTGGGTGGCTCATTGGGACGCTAGCTCTGAGCAGCAGGGCCCCGGTTCGGATCCCACATGAGGGCCAGTGACACTGCGCCCTCTACAGCTAAGATGGTGAACAACAGCTCGACCTGGAGCTGGGCTGCTGTGAGTCACCGGTGATGGCATAGGCTGCAGTGGGGCTGCCATAAGCTACCGTGAGTAGCCAGCAGTCAGCGTGAGTGGTGGTCCAATGGCCGGCAACCCATCTGCCTCACCCGGGAAGAGCGCAATGGTCACAATACCAACATGAGCCAATGAAGCAACATCCTCCACAACTAGACTGAAGAACAAAAGAACAGCAACTTGTCTGCTCCCCTTCCCCGATTTAGAAAACAAAGGCATGGGCTTTCCATCCCCATGACCATTTTTACAGCTGGCAATTCGTACTTCTTCACCACTTTCACCTTTTTCACCCAATCCCCAACCCCTTTCCCATCTGGTGAGCATCATGAATATAGTTGATAATACTGTAATAAATACTGTAATAATACTGTAATAACTACGTATGGTGTCAGAAGGGTACCAGGCTTTATCAGGGTGATCACTTCACAAGGTATATAAATGTCTAATCACTATATTGTACACCTGAAACCAATATAATATTGTCTATCAACTCTGATGGAAAAATAAATTTAAAAAAATGAAATTAACAAAAAAGAAAGACATGGGCTCTGGAGCCAGAAACCTTGCGTCCAGCTCCTGGCGCCACCACTTAGTAGCTGGCTGAGCTTAAGCAAGTTACTCAACTTCCTTATACCTTTATTTATTCACCTATAAAAGGGGGTGGCAGCTTACAGGGCTGTTGTGAGGAATAAATTAACAGCATGTAAAGCCTTATTGCACGGCACATAGTAAGTGCTCATTAAACGTCAGTCATCGGTCGCCATGTGTTGCTGTGACACACACACACAGTCAAGGCACTGAGCATGCAGACCAGAGAAGGAAGGGCCGCTCTCCCTCTGAGGAAGTCAGAGGTCCTTTCCCAGAGGACAGCCTGGGGCAAGTCGCAAAGGAGTTTACCAGAATGACAAGGCATGGGAGAGAGTATTCGAGGTGTGTGCAAAGGTAGCAAGGTTTAAAATGGCAGGGAAATTTGGGGGATCTTCAAAAAGCTTTGGTTTATAAATGCAGGGTAGGACTCACAAGGGGAGCAGCAGGAGTGGCTGGAAAAGGCAGGCAGGGGCTCTGGGCCTCTGGGTCGGACCCCGTGCTGGGCATTTTACGACGCAAGTTCATTTCATTGTCACCAACACGATACCGGAACCCCTGTGACGTCATCTAGCATCTCCCTACTTGGCGCCCTCCCTCCACGGCGGTGCTTTGCTTTTAAGCAGGCGTGCACGCGCCTTCCTCAGGTCTGGACACGGCCACTGTCTCCTTGACTGCTCTTCCCTCAGATCTCCATCCACCTGCTCAACTCCTCCACCTCCTTCAGTTCTCTGACCTTCTCAACGACGAGGTTGACCTCATTGACCTCAATTTAATACAGTAAAATGTTCTCCATGTTTTCCTCCATCTTATTATTCCTCTCCCCAAAGTACACCTTCTAACGTATAGTGTAATTTATGTATTTATTATGTTTATTGACATGTGTTTATTATGTTTACTGTTACCTGTTAGAAGGGAAGATCTCTGAGTTTATTTTATCTAATAAAGTTAAATTTTGTGTTTCATTTTAATTGGGAGGAAAGAGGAAAGGAGGAAACTAAACTTACGGCAAACTAAACTTATATCCTTGCTATGAAGACATGTCATGGGATGGACTCAAATATATCCCCTTGGGATGGGGTCCAAGATGAATCGCATTTACACTGAGTCCACGGAAGGCCTTTAATGCTATAGTGAGCCTCCAAGACAAAAAACTGCTCAAAAAGACCAAAATTTTAAATCCATCCCACTGGTTTGCACACTGATACAGCTTAAGTGCCAAGCACATCTTCGAGCACACACGATATGGAGAGCTATATAAATTTACCGCAGGTACTGAGATGAAACCCATGTCTATCTGACTCCAGAGTGTATGCCCCACTTTTACAGTATACTCTCTTCTATTATCGATAAGACGTGAAATATTGGAAAAAGTTTGCTGTCACCAACAAGGTAGTTAATTACATTAATACTTACTTTCTAATTTCACTAAGAGATTTTCTCTATAGCTTGCTCAAAGCTGTGCTCCAGAAATTGTGAGATCCTTAAGATTTAATGATAACAACACGTTCTTTTGACACGTTGGTACCAAAGAGCTCAGTCTGGACTCCGACAGAGACATCAAGCCAGGCTTTGCCACAGGCTGACAGTACGAATCCGAGCAAGTGACTTCAGCTCTGCGCTCGCTTCCTCTCCTAAAATATGCGAGTAATAATACCAATTTCACAGGCTTGTTGCATCCAATTTAATTATAAGAGAATGCCTGGAGAGCACTTAGCACACTGTCTGGGTTACAGAAAACACTCAATAAATGGCAGAAAGCGTTATTATTATGGTATCATTATGCTATTAAGATCAAGGAGTATTTGCCAGGCACCAAATTAGAAGAGCTTCTTGGAAGAAGAGAGTAAGTGTTCCGGGGCCACTGTGAGGGCAAATAATGGCTGGAACAGGAGGAAAGCGGCCAGCGATGAGGCTAAGGGAGCCCAGGGCCCGGAGCTGTGGCGCAGTGGGGCGTTTGCTGTTTAAGTGCAAAAAGCTACTGAAATGTTTGAAGCAGCAGAGTGAGAATGGGGACATGGGTGAGAACGGAAGTGGGGGACTCGGGAGGGGGCTGCTGCTAGTCCGAGGGGGAGACATGAAAAGCTCCTCGAACTAAGGCTCCAGCATCACTGAGACGGAGAGAAATGGAGCAACTTGAGATGTTATTTGGGAGGCAGAATTTTCTGGACTTACTGATAGGCATGAAGGGCAAGAGAGAGAAAAGAACCAAGGAAAAGTCTGCGCGTTTGGCTTGAGCAGCTAGATGCAAAAGAATGAGGGGAAGGGATATGGGGATGAGTTCCATGCAAAGCTGAGCTGATGTTGCCCAGGACTGAGAGAGTCTGCAGTTCTCCAGCTCAAATACAAAGTATCGAGACGCTATGAAAAGATAACTTACCCAAAGAGCAAATCATTTGGAAATTCAAACTATAGAAGTGAATGCATTGTGATTTTCGTAAAGTTCTGTTTTAGGCCATGAGGAAAACAACATACAATGTTTGGTCTATTAGTGTTCTATAAGCACTGTTTTAAGAAAGCCTAAGTAACCTACTTCATTCTCTGCATGGTTATTAGAGTAATTTTCTAAAATGAAAACCTGATTATATTGTGCCACTGCTTAAAGCCCATCATTAGTTCTCTATTGCCTGCAGCTTGAGGTCCAGACGCCATCTGTACCAGAGGACCCTGCCTGCATCACGCCCTCAAGCCCCAGGGCCGGCCCCTCCCACACGCTCCCCTCTGCCCTAAATGTCCTCTCCTCAGTCTGCCTTCTGGAAAGCTCCCCTTCATCTCCACTCTGACCCAGGCCGCTGCCCTGTGAAGGCCTCTCTGACCTCTAGGAACAAGAGGCCACTCCCGCCTCTGCCTCTGGGGACGCCCTCAGCCTATCTGTGTAACAGCCCCTATACCACTCAGTGGCTTTGGCTTACAGGCCTGTGGTCCCACCATGCTGAGACCTTTGTAAGAGCGAAGACTGTGTCCTCCTTAGTTTAGTAACATTGCCATCTAACACATTAGCTGACACCTCACGGTCTCCGGAGATGTGAAAGAACAACTTTCAGCTCAAGTGTAAAACAGGGTGTAAGATAACTGTATTTTCAAAGAATGAGAGAATTAGAAAACAGGAAATAGCGGCTGGAAATGATTTTATGGTTTCTGGCATTCAGCAGGTCTGAGCCTGCTTCTTTTCATGCTTATAAAACCAGCAGCTACAAAGCACAAAGGTGTGTGTGCCTCAAGGTGCACTCCTGGGGGGGGGGGGGGGGTGATGCTGGGCGGAGGGACAGGAAACCGGCTGTCTAGCTCAGTTTTAAGAATATGGCTAATTTAGAGATGATCCTTACATCATCACTTTCAAAGCAAATAACTTATCTGGGTTTTCTTTTTTTATATATAACTTCATATTCTTTAAATCTTGTGTAAGCATGGATTAATCTGCAACATGTGAGGCTGCGGGGAACACGAAGATACGTAAGATAAACTCCCTGTCAGCGTGCATTCACAAGCTTCTCTATGTTCTAACATACCAACAGTTAATTTTAGATCCTTGAAGGAAAAAAAGAAACAAGAAAAATCATTCTGAAGCTAGCTTGCTTTCCTCTAAGAGATGCGATTTAAAAGATTTAAGTAGGAGGCAGTTATTCACATGAAAGTTAATCCTCAAAATAAACTTCTGTTTATATATGGCTAGTTAAACAAATACTTGTTACAAAAGAAGGACCATAACAAAAAATGATTAATTTGCAACAGCTTTAGCAAATATAATCACATAATCAAAGTGTGGTTCACAGAAAAACATATGTGGCTCCAAAAATCTCTAAATAATGAGTATACTAAGTGAAGAAACAAGGAAATATTCTTTAAAATCATAGTATTTATTATAGTCTATATTTATGTTCAACTAGAATAAC